TTTTTTTTTTTTTTTTTTTTTTTTTTTTAAAGAAAAGAAAAATATTCGGACCATTTCTCGGCCTATGCGTGTCATCCTTATACAGGGGCTACATCACCCCGGCGCGGTTGATGTCGGCCGCACGATCTCACAGATCGCACAGCCGAGAATCGGCCGCCCCCTTTGTCAAGTCACAGGCTGCTCCAAAAGGAGTTAGCCCAGTAGTGCAGGTTGTTAGGTTCGATCCCCATGTCTGCAGGGTAGTAATCTGGCAACGGTACCTACTGGGCTAGCTCCTTTTCACATCAGAAAAGGAGCGGCCCTTCCATATGAAGGGCTCCTAGTGCCCAATAGGCCCCTTGCTAACGCCTAGCAGGCTATGCCTGCTAAGCCGGCTTATTACCGCGGCTGGCAGGCGAGGTCGGCGGCCGACAACTTTAACAGCTAACGTACTTATCCGGCCTCGACGCCTTCGCCCTCGGGTCCTTGGCGCAAAATCCGTATGGACCCTAAGCCATCCCTTCACGCCGCGGTCCATCTTGCCGCGGCGACCCCTTTTTGGCCCACTTAGGCCCTGAATCGCGCGGCTATTACCTTACTATAGGTAGAGTAGGCTGAATTTTAGTTTCCCCACGACCGCACACAAGCGCGGCCTCGTCGAAAACCCGCGGACGACAGTGCCGACTCCCGTTATCCCGCACAGATGTCGGTGTCGTCCTGTGTCGACGACGTCAGGTTCAAAAAGTTCAAGTCTTTCAGTCATAGCGCTGGTCTGAATAAACTCTGGTAACGTCAATCTCATCAAGTCTTCTAATTAAGTGAGAAAGTTAGACAGTGTCCGACGTTGAAAAACACGGGCAGATACCCTTGCCAGGGTTTCTGCCCCGACACCGCAACTTAGTGAGGCTGCGCGTTCACTCAACCAACTAACGCCCTACAAAAGCCTGAATACCTACATATGGAAATGTCGAATTTTGGCATGTGACGAATATTCTGGCCCGCGCTCACTTAGGGCTGGCACTTGGCTTGCTGGGGGCCTTCGCCCAAAACGTGCAATGTCTGATAGGGCCCCTTGAGGGCTCATTCCTCATATTCTATCCCCCTTAGCTTTTAAAGTCCGCTGAGATGCTTCATGCTGGAGCCTTCCCCTTTAGTCTCTTCTCATAATCTGCCACGATCTGAGGAGTTGTCTTAATAAGTTCCTTCCTTGAAATCCATCGATCTTCCTTCGGATCCGTATGATGCCTGAAATGAACTCTGTACTCCCTTGCAGGTTTTGGAGGTCTTCCACTGGCAGTTGGCTTGGGAACAGGCGTATCTCTGTATTCTAAAATGTCTTCAACGTCCCTGTGGCCGTCCATGGTTGGGGGCAACGTAGATCTCCGTGATGGGAACTGTGATGTCTTGCAAAAGGTGCAAGCTTGGAGGTGTGAAAAACAGGGTAAGTGCGTAAGTGACCACGGATACGAATGACGTACGAGGGACCATCCAAATCATTCCCCACAATGTCCAGGACTTCCCAGGGACCGAAATACTGAGGCATTAGTTTTCTAGAGATGCCAAACTCCTGTCCCAACTCACTAGCCTAGACCCAGACACGTTCCCCTACCTGAAATGTGGACTGTCGGCGACGTTTGTTCTCAGAAGCAATCATGACTTCTTGAGATTTCTTGATGTGTTCGACAGTCTGCTGCAACAATTTCTCATACTGGACACCAAATTCAATGGTTCCAGGAGTTGCAGCAGTTCAGTTTTCAGGCAGGAGGAAGTCTAGAGCAGATTTAGGCTTCCATCTCAAATGCAGTTGATTAGGACTGACGTCGGTGGTGATGTGTACAGCGTTATTGTACAGCCTGGCGATGAGAGGTAATTTCTCATCCCAGTCATCCTGGTTGGGCTTGTTGTAATGCCTCAGCAGATGTTGCACAACTCGGTTCATCTGTTCAGCCTGCCCGTTTGATTCCCTGAAATCATCTGAAGTTGACTGCCCATCTGTTCAACGGCCTTCTTCCACATCTCGCTTGTGAAACGTACATCTCTGTCACTAACGATCGTTTTTGGAAGTCCAAAGTCATGCACCCAGTTGTCCATGAACAACTTGATGACGTGTTCAGTCCTGGCAGTTTCTGGCATGGCGATTAGTCTAGCGTACTTAGTGAACCGATCCACTATGACGAAGATGTGCCTCCACAAGCGGTTATCGGGTAACTGAAAATTCAGGAATGAAAATTCTGAAGTGGGAGTTTTGGGCAGTCTGAAAATCATGAATGGTCCTGAAGTGGTGAAATGTCCGAAGACCCTGAAAACCACATATTTAGGCAGGCTGCATCCTGAAGTGGTGAACGGTGTCATGAAATGGTCAAGTGAGAGTTTTAGGAAGTCTGAAAGTCATGAATGGTCCTGAAGTGGTGAAAGGTCTGAAGACCATAAAAACCACCCTTCACCACTTGAGGATGCATCCTGCCTAAACAAGTAGTTTTCAGGGTCTTCGGAGCTTTCAACACTTCAGGACCATTTAGGATTTTCGGACCTGAATGGTCCTGAAGTGGTGAAAGGTCCGAAGACCCTGAAAACCACTTACAGGATGCAGCCTGCCTAAACAGGTGGTTTTCAGGATCTTCGAAGCTTTCACCACTTCAGGATCATTCAGGATTTTCAGACCTGAATGGTCCTGAAGYGGTGAAAGGTYCGAAGATCCTGAAAACCACCTGTTTAGGCAGGCTGCATCCTGAAGTGGTGAAGGGTGTCCTGAAGTGGTGATGAAAAATACGACTGTTGTTAACCTCCTCTCCTCTTGCAATTTTTGCTGGTCACGAGAGTGTCCATGAAGTCACATGGAGATACTTTGCCCTGGACCAGCAGGATTGGGTAGAGGCTTGAGTAACCCAAGCGGACCTTAAGTTTGCGGATTGTCCCGCTGACAGACCTGACAGGTTTGTACGTACTTCTTTGCATCGTCCAACATGTTAGGCCACCAAAATCGTTGTACTAAGTTAGCAGAAGTCTTCTTGTAGCCAAAATGTCCCGTTGCGTCATGGCATTCTCCAAAAAACAAACTACGCAAATCTTCCCTAGATGGAACAACTAATCTCTTAAGCCCTGCCTTCTCAAGAAAGAACAACCCATCCACCATCACAAACTCACCAGTGGTGACCTTGTCTTTAGCCTGTAGTTTGTTGATGATGTCCATCGTGATGAGATCTTCCTTGTAGGCTTCCTCCATAGATCAAGTCACGTCCTCAGATAGGCCAAACTCAGAAATCAGCGCACCCAGGTAATATGCCCTTCTAGACAACGCATCTACAACCTTGTTGTACTCTCCCTTCACATAGTGTAGTTCGTCGCGTACCAGGAATGATATCTTATGATGTATTTCTCCTCCTGGGTAGGGAAAGGTGCAGACTACATCTTTAGCGTAGTCCTCTACCATCATGCGCTCTTTGTTGGCCAAAGTAGATGTTACCGGTCTACCTAGGCGCTGCACCTGGTCCTTTAGTCATAGTCTGTCAACGCAGTCGCGACTTATGAAGTTTCGCGTGGAGCCAATGTCTACGAAAGCGCCGCACTTGCTACCACCCACACCAACTTCCACTACGAAGTGTTCCCCTCTAGGACCTCTACTCAGTGCCACCCATGACTCACGAGGGTCCCTTGCCGACCACTCACCTTGAAGGTCCTCTAATGCTTCAGACACATCCAACGTACAGAGAATAGTTGGGTCCGGATGCGTATGCGGGGTAACTAAGGAGTCAATAGTTTTGGCCAACTCTTGAACCGGGGAGGGTACATCACCCGATTCAATGAGAGTAGAAGCAGCTACATCTTCTGTCGGCCCTAAGTGTTTCCCGAGCTAGAGCTCGTAAAGGCCCCAAACTGAGAAGAAGGAAACCCACCCTTAGGAGGGATCTTCTGCGAGACCTTCGGGTTCTTACATTTAAACTGTGTATAGTCATACTCGGCGCAGTTTATGCAAGCACCTCGTGACCAACGATCTCGCCACACTTCCTGATCCAAGCCTGCTCTAACCCAAGCAGCTATTTTGTTTGGGTTAGCGGCTTGCCCCTGACCCCTTTGTTGACCGCCCTTCCCGCGGCCTCCTGCCTTAGTCTTCACTACCGCGGCGAGGTTGCTACCCTCAGCACTCTCCTCACCATCTAACTATGTTCCCTCCACAAGCTCAGAAACATCATCGATCTCAGTTTGATTCCCATCGGAATCAACCATCATCAATCGACTACCCTTCTTCTTCCACTCTTGTGGAGTCTTCTTCTTTCTCCTGTCCGCAGAAGGGGTTTGAGCACTACCCAGCGTAGCCTCTAAGTCTAGAGCCTTCTTGCTGAATGTCTCAAATGTGTGATACTCTCTGCGAGCCTCGCTGGCTAATAAGTTTTTGATGTCTGTGGGAAGACATCTCAGAAAAGTGGTCAATAAGACCTGTGGATTGTACTCCACTCCTGGGACAATGATCAGACGCTCTACGGTTGTGGTACGCTCTCGCACTGACTTGTGCTTCCTAGCATCAAGTTTCAGTAGCCCATCAGTGGCAATCTGTGCCTGTTGAGGGTTGTGCCAACGCGCTTCCACTAAGTCCATAAAGCTTTCTAAGGTGTGGGTCTGCACCCAATCACCCATGTTTCTGTCGAAACCCTTTGAAGCAATCAATCCATTTAACCAGCGAGTTGCTGAACCCTCTACTACCAATGTAGCAGTTATCACTTCCTCTTCTACCAATGTCCTTTTTGCCCTCACCCAGATTGGAACCGTTCTAAACCACGTGTCGAGAGCCTCGTCCTTCTTGTCTCCTGAGAAGGTTAGAGGTGGTTTCAGAGGGGTCTTGGGATACCAAGGAAATTGTTGTCCCGCTGGTGAGACAGGTGGCAACTGTGGTGTAGCACCAGTCGCTGGACTGGAAGATGAAGAAGCAACAGTATGAGATAAGGTTGCTGCTGATGTACCACTTAGTTGTGGTCCAGACCGAGCGGCATAGGGGCCTGTCGTCGCTGAGAATGGCAGCGACGGCAAGACTGCTGGCCTGATTCCTGGTTTGTGCATAGCATTCAAGATCTGGTCCAAGGTATCCTGGATTGTATCCAGTTTACTGTCCATATATGCATGCATGGACAGGATGCTCGCCTTCAGAATCTTTTCATTGTTGCTAAGGGTCGCGTCATCTAACTCCTCTAGTGCAGCCTTGTCTGCCTCCCTACCCTCTAGTCTGACACTCCTATCTCTAATCTCTTTCTCTCTTTTAGTAGCCTGCCTGAGTTCCTCATCTAGCCTCAAGCGGATCCTCTCGACTTGCTGGAGCTCCATCTGCTCCCGAGTGAGTGGCGGCGGCGAGCTGAACTGCGAGCCCGCCATCTAACTAGTGCCAACCCCTGACCTACTGGAGGTGGACTGTGAACTGGTCGGCATGCCCAACACTTGACTAGTTGAGTTTGCAGCAGAAGTTGTTGCCGACGTTGCCATAGCTACAGCGCTAGCTGCCGCTGCTGCAAACGCACGTTCAACCGCTGTTGCTGCTGCTCTCACAGTCTCTAGATTGCGGGCCCTTGTCTAGGCCCTAGGCCTTCTCTCATCTCCTGGTAGTAGAACCTGAAACACAACAGGTATCCTAGCGGTATCCTGTCGTGTCTGCCTCCTATCATCGGATCTCTCCTCCCCACTGTCTGATTCGCTCATGGGCTAGGCAGACGCTGTCTGCACTAATGTCCTCTTTGGAACCTAACGCAGCATGCGTCTGACCGGATCTAAAAATAAATAATTAAATAAATGTCCGGCGAGTTACCTAGACTACTATTCAAGTAGCATCAACAAAACCTACACAAACTGTAAACATTGTCTATGTCTATCATGATTAGTTTCATACATCAGATTCGAGAAGAACTGACTATGGTAGATTACAGTCCTTCTCTAGTCTATCTGTTAGGTGTCAGCAGTCGGTCAACCAACTAATCAAAAATAAAACTTAGACTAATGTGAGCAGATGTATGCACAATGCAATTAATAGTGATGTTCAGTTGAGTTCACAATTGGAATCCCCTTTCCCTGTATCCAACGTACCCGTGAGCATCATCAAGCTGCAGTGTCTAAGGTGTGCAACCACGGCCCACCCCTGTGCCCAAGAAGTATGCTTATGACCAGCCTACCCTTTATTTACCCTCGCGTGCTACGAGCCTTACGTCTGACTAATCTGGCTGATCAAGAGGCAATTTAAGGACAATCCCTGGAGTCCTCAGGAATTCTTTAACGTCGCAATCAGGACGACGATCACAGCCAGTGGACCGTTCTGACCCCAACCAGAAATGTTTATAGACGATCTGGAAGTGTCTCCGTATGACTGGTGAGTCCGCACACCCCTTCTATCAGCGCAGCAAAGAGCCTCAATGGACAAAGCAGCATGGCCTGCATGTACTAATACCCATCGGTTGGCATGGTGACCGTGACCCATGCTTCGACCAGGGCCCAACCACTGATTTCTCACCAACTGGGCCGACGTGCACTTCGATAACTGGTGATTAGCCTCGGTACCACCGACAACGCAATGCAGTGCCACCTCAGCCAAAATGCCACGTCAACATACTCTCATCATCATGCATACACCCATTGTCGCCACAGCTCCCACGCTGTCGTCACAGCCTTCCAGCGGCCGGCCTCTCCACCTAGGCCCCGCTAATTAACCAGCTGCAAAGTATCCCCACTGCACATGAAGCATCGTCAGTGCACCAAGTCACAATGTCGGTGGTGCCAGGTAAGCGGCGATCATCAACCAGCTCCGATACCAAATTGCACGGAATATGAGTGTGAGCGATATACATAAAACCAAGTTGTGAAATCACACAGTTGAACAAGTCGTCGTGTCCCAAGCAGAGCGTACAAATGCACCGAGAAAACCATCCATATAGAGCAATATAATGAAGTAATGAGCCAATGTCCAAGCCCGTAGGCCACACCAACACAGTATCCAAAGTCGCTCTCACTGTCTGGCGCTCGGCGCCCAACCTACTCTACCTGACTAGCTTACCTACAATCGGTTCACGCAACAGGATCACTTCGACTCTTGAAGACCAATGTACATGATTGCCAACACCATCGCCGGCCTCTTTTCATGTACCAGGTACGTATCTCGTCACCCTCAATCATACCTTGATTACCCCACACAGCGCATCCTACCCTGAAGACCACCCGATCATCCGCTATACCCCCTGGCGCCCAGCAGCCCGGCTATGGCCGCCTGCGCCCCCCTGCCCTGCATCGCCCCTCTCACCACCTCGCGCTCCATCAGTGCCCTTGGCATTAGCGCAGCATCAAGCAGAAGCGCAGCAGCACTTCAACATTGCCAGCACTGGCCAGTGTCCCAGGCCTGAGTTGCCTTACTTCCTTTATGGAAGTGGCAGCGTGCTTGATGCTGCGTCTGGTCTGGATGGAAGCTTCCAGTAGCTTCCGGTCGGGCCTCAGACCCTGTGCCCAGGTCCGAGACTTACAGTTGAGGGCCTGGGCCCTTTTCAGTTGGGCACGGTCTCGCTGTTTGCTGTATCTGCGCAGGGCCCTCAGGTAGATGTGTCGGCAATACTGCTTTTCCCTAGGCCGACGACCTGCTTCTCAATGTATCAGCCCTGCTTTGTGTGTAGGTGGCCAGGCGCAACTTTCGTGGCCTAGGCCAACCGTACGCCGCAACTTAGTGAGGCTAGTGCGTTCACTTAACCAACTAACGCGCTAAAAGAGCCTGAATACCCACATATGGACATATCAAATTTTGACTTGTGACGAATATTCAGGCCCGCCTTCACTTAGGGCGGGCACTTGGATTGCTGGGGGCCTTAGCCCAGAACATGCAATGTCTGATAAGGCCCCTTGAGGGCTCATTCCTTATATATATATACAATTCTGTTTGTAACGATACATATACATATATATATACAGGGTTTCCGGCGTTCGGGAAGGGCCGAATGCGGACCCGAACGCCCGAACGTACGGGACCCCTTCGGAAGGCGTTCGTGCCGAACGCGGACCAAAAAGAAAAGAAAAAAAAAAAAAAACCGTTTTCAAAAACTTTCGAAAACAAAATATGTTATGGAGAAAAATAAACTAAACAACATTTGTCTGGGCACTACATCCAAATTCTTTATCAAATTTAAATTAAAAATAAAACATAGAAAATAAATACTATGATAAAAATAAAAAAAAATAAAAAGAGAATTAAAATGAGTGAGTGTGCTAGCACCTTTTCGACACCGCCATCTTTGCCGATTTTTAATTATTTTTTGGCACTAAAAAATGCCCTGAAAATTTACAGATATGTAGTTCACATAATCAATAACTCATTAAAACTGTTTCAAAAAATAAAAAAAATTGTAAGGCCCCGAAATAAAGTGAAAACAAAAAGTTAAACGTGAAAAAAAAACAAAATAGTGAGTGGGCTAGCACTTTTTGACACCACCATCTTTGACTATTTTTAATATTTGTTTGGCTTAGCAGAATGATTTCAAAATTTATAGGCGTGTAGGTTACGTTATAGAGAATTCACAAAACCAAATTCAGAAAAACAAACTTATGTTTAAGCCCCGAAATATTTTTTGGCGGGGGCCGAACCTGGAGGTGTTTGGCCCCCGAACGGGACCCCAAACGCTCGAACGTTCGGGGGCGAGCCCGGGGGCCCCCGAACGTTCGGTCAGGTAACCTTGTATATATATATATATATGGGATGGGTAATAAAATATGAGACGATCACTCTCACAACAGTAGTGTGGCTTGTCTATCCGCATTCACGCAATACTCAAACAATCACCAAACTTAACAAAATAGATATCTCTTATGTATACCTGCGATCATACATAATTCGAACAATAGCATCACACACACTACGGGAATCCATTTTACCGATTTATGCGACTCACACAGAAGTCTGAACCTTTCTCCACCTTCCCTCAATAAAGATACTTAGTCTTTAAAAACTGCCACTTACAAAGAAATCTGGGTGAAAATCCCAAGAAACATAAGAACCCACAAGGACCAAGGTCTCAGGCTGAGATGCAGAAGCAAGTAAATTGTGTTGTAAACTGACCTATTATCAAGGGATAACAGAAGAACGATCCTTCGTAAGAGCAGACCGAACGAATGAAGCCTTTAATCAAATTCGTTGACGGACACCACAGTTCATACCGACGGGAACCAAGTACTCCGTTCAAGATAAATGGAGAACCAACACCACTCTACAACTTAACTCCTTTACTAGCGTTTAGTAGTTTACCTTACCTCCCTCAGAAGTCGTTGAGAACTTTGGCGTCACCTTGCCAAAGTTTTCCCTAATAGAAAACAATTAAACTATCTAAATTTCACAAAATTTCGGCAGCGTTTCCCATAGGAAAAGTGCCTTCTCAGAACGTTTACTACTTCAAAAATAACGAACTCTTTTCAATTTTTTTTAAATTTCGACAGTTCTTCCCGTAGGAAAAGGAGGCTGCCAAGATTTATACAAAGTTGAAAATGTTAAAGCAACGTGCAATTATACCTGGGACTAATTGCCGGAACCTTATCTAGTGGTTAGACCTAACGATAGTCCCTCTCTTTGAAGGTGGGATCGTGAGATTGCACTGGTACTAGCTTCTGGTAAAATCAAACCTACGTTATCCCATGCTTCCCTTCCTATCATCCATTCTAGTCTATCTATGGCTCCCGCACTCGGCGAGCATCTAAACAAATAACATTATCAAGAGATGCCCCAAAACGAGTGCCCCTCAATCAAACATGCATAACCAACATCTCTCTCAATCCTTCATTTGTTTTGGCCACGTAGTTCGTTACTCTCTCAGTTCTTTCAACCCTTAGTAAAACCCCCTTGCCTATCGTATAGGATCAGACCGCCTTAACTTAGGGGTGCACTTGACCTCCCTAAGCAACTAACTAGAGTACGTACAACTAGACTGCCCCAAATTAGGGGTATGCCTAGCTTACATGACCGAAACGTATATCCAGACTGCCCCAACTTAAGGGCATGCCTGGCCGAACATAAACTAGGAACGTAAAGTATATGACCAATTTATCCCAACTTAGGGGTATGCCTGACCTCTGCTTAACTGACGACATGAGCCATAAGACTAGACTGCCCCAACTTAGGGGTATGCCTAGACAACCTTAAATGAAGTTTACGTATGGCATAGGATTAAACTGCCCCAACTTAGGGGTATGCCTAATTTGCCTAAGCGAATACAAACGACGAATGATCGGACCGCCCAAACTTAAGGGTACGTCCAACCTACATAACATTAACGACAAATATCATATCGCTAGACCGCCCCAACTTAGAGATACGTCTAGTTAGCCTGAATAGTTTAAGATACATAAGACAATGTGATCAGACCGCCCTAACTTAAGGGTACGCATGATCTACCTAAAACAGGTTACAAACGACGCATGACTAAACCACTCCTTTTTAGGAGTACGCTTAACGTCTGTAACA